TAAAACCCCATAGGAAAATCTCAAAGGATCCTGCAGCGAATTACACTTCCGGGTTCTGACGTCATAGTTCTCCCACTCTATTGTACCTTTGTTCTAAAAGAAAGTAGTCAGTACCCTATTTATGGAAAGTGCAAGATATGTTACAGCAATTCAGTAAAACTTCCAGAGAGGTTTTGGGGGAAATTGCTCATCACTGGCAGATGTCCAAGTGATTGTTGTACGTCTATTGTCAATTTTAGACTGCTGAACTGTGGGTAACATGGGAAATAATTACATGGCACATTGATGAGGTGACTCAACAAGAGAGTTGACCCAGAGCTGACGTACATGCACTGATTCACTTTTAGCACTAATATCGCTAAACCATCCGAATAAAAGAACACATCACGGCAAAGAACGAAACCACTGAACATCTTGTTACAATGATTATTTATTAAATTTAAAATATCTTTAGCACAGATTAAAAATCAGACACCTCCAACTATCATGGTCGTCATGAATTGAAAATAAACATTCCTAAAAAACAGTCCCTCTTCCTCCATTGGATCCATGATCTCCTTCATAGAATAGTCTCTGGTTTGGTTATAAATGTACAGGTCATTGCATAGGGCTGAGGCAAAACTAACCGCAATACTCTTGGGATTCGCTGAAGTCAATCACTGCATGGCCATAAAATAAAATAGAGCAAGATACATGATATGTACTGAAAAAAGTGCTAAAATAAAAGACATTTGCCTTGTGTTTGGTTGTTACAGTCAGGAAACCAGGGCACACTTTGTAACAGACAAAAACAGACCAATAAAATACACATAATTATTTGTTATTTATGTTCTGTGAGTATATGAAGTTTGGTTTTGAAAAGTAGGGCCATGGTTCAAAATCCAGACAGTTAACATTGATCATCCTCCCTCCCCAATATCATGCGGATATTGTGTTTGCCTCAACCCTCTTACAAAAATGTCTGAAGGATAACAAGGAACATGGGAAAAAACACTGTGGAATGACAGCCATAGATATAATTGCTTATACCAAAAACAAGGTAAAATAAAATAAAAATCACTATTTTTCACATCTGTTCATGAGATCATGTCTATTTGACCAATCGTTTTATTATGTTCCTTTTTCTCAATTCAGTTATTCTTTTTTAGCACATGCCATATGCGTTTTTGATTATAAAAGTACCTGAAACAATTGCTAGAGTGTCAGCATGCATAGCTGTTCGATATTTACAGTTGTATGTACAACACCGAAGAACTGACAGCGGAGGTGGACAGATCTGTCACGATGACATGAGACCAATGACGGGAAAATATACACCATTTTTCTTAACCTTTTACATGCAGCAATGACAGAAAATTCAACACAACCTTTCTAGAAACAAAGGGATATTACTCTTACTCAGTAAGGTCATCACTTGCATTTTCAAGTGATTTTCTCTGCTGATTATAACGTGATGCTCTATATGACAGATACTCAACATTGTGAGTGTGTTGGAGAAACTACATGGAAAAAGGATCACGTCCGTTCACGCTGTAGAGCGACACCAGCACTACCGGGAAACTGGGGTACTAGTTAACAGCGAAAAAACTATGTCTGCCAACTATGAATTCTCAGCCAGCACAGGACTTTAATACTGATGGTAAAAGAGGAATTAAATCACAATTTGTACACTAGATACAGTCAGATTTTACCAGGTGTGCATAATGGGGGCACCATTCCTGGGTTTAACAAATAAAAGGCGAGAAATTGTAGGTCGTTCCTTTCTGGAAATATTAAACCTCGTATAACACTTAATCAAAAGAAGCACTCTTTTACTACAACCTAACCAGACACTACGAGCATATTTGATGGTAAATATACAATTATGCAGAGCAGGATTTTGGACCAATGAGATTTCACGATGGGCGGGACTACCCAGTACAAAATCGCAGAAGTAGAAACCAAGCATGTTGCTTTATCGTATTCCGCCTGGTTAGGACATGGCGTTATCATCTCAATTATTTATTGCTAAACAAAACGACTTATTTGGATCTGTGTGCATGAGGTTTCATATTGAAAATTGCATTTGATACAGGAAGACATTTAGTATTTACGCACGTAAAAGTGACAAATGGACTTATTGCATGACTTTGGAGTTATATCTTATGTCCATTTTCGGCCTTTGTTATATTTGAAAGAGGAAGTGTTTAAGTGTTGCTCTTTGTTTTATTTGCTTTGGTTTGGTTGTTAGTATTGCTGCAAAAATTACCAAACGGATTTGGCGGTTTGTGTTTTTTTAGAAGTTTGAATACTTCAGTATTTAACTCAATGGTTCTTCAACTGGTGGCTCTCAACCCATTTTTTGTTCAAATTGTGGAGAGAAAGGAAAAATGATGTTGGCGCCAAAATTGTTGGCGTCAATTTAGATATTTACTCACGTAAAAGTGACAAATAGACTTATTGCAGGACTTCGGAGTGAATGGAAGAATCTTATGTCCATTTTCGGCCTTTATTATTTTTGAAAGAGGACGTGTTTAAGTGTTGCTCTTTGTTTCATTTGCTTTGGCTTGGTTGTTAGTATTGCTGTAAAAATGATCAAACGGTTTTGGCGGTTTGTGTTTTTTTTTAGAAGTTTGAATGCTTCAGTATTTATGGTTCCTCAACTGGCTCACGACCCGATTTTGTTCAAATTGCGGACAGCAATGAAAAACTATGCTAAATTCTAACCATGTAATTGCACATGGTTAGTGCAGCAAAGTAAATACTTATCAAGTGCTTCAAGATTAAATACTTATCAAGAAAAAGCTTCCCATGTCTTTCATTGTTGGCATCATTGTTGGACGTTTGTCCAATCACATTTGTGATTCACATGGTAAAAGCTAGCAAAATTAGGCAGATAACACACCTCACCCTCATCTTTGAGAAACCATGAAGAAAGCAATGCAACATAAAAGACTTGTGCGACAGACAGTTGTAGTCGTGTGTTGGGACGTCACTTAATGTCCAGTGATAAATCTTGGGTCCTGAAGCAAAACCAGTTGAGAACCACTGCTTTAACTGATCTGTAGCTCTATCGCTATCTCTGTTTTCTGGGCTGAGCTCTTGATAAATGCGAGCAGTACCTGGTCCAGCATGTTAATGCGTTTTATCATAAAGCTTATCAGCCCAAAAGGGCCATCAGGGTCAAGTGCCAGGAGGTTCAGCATAACGGCAATAAGATCCATGTTCTCTTATTCAGTCTGACAATCCAATCTCACCATCTCCCTCAGCTAAATGCACCAAAGCAGGAGGCTCATGGTTAGAATCGCTATTATTGTCCCGCTGCTAACGGATAAAGGAAATGGTCTAGAGCCTCAATGGATCAATCGCAGATCTATATTTAGTGAGGATGCATCTGAGAAAGCTTGATGGGAATGTATTCAACATTCAAAGTTCTAATAAAGCACATGTACTAAAGCCCAACTGAACAATCGAGCCGACTGTATGGCAAGCATATCTGAGTTAAGCTGTAATTCAGATGGTGATTACTGTAATAAAGTAGCCTAAGCTAACTGCTAGTTCTGCGTTAGCCCCATTCAGTTGGCACAGCTCTAATATGGGGCTGCTGGGATTTAACCATGTGTTCTCCCTGCATCTCACATCCGCTAGGAAGACTAGGCAGGCTTTGGAAATGGGCTAAAGCGCATTTGGAAGAGGGTTCGGATTCATTTCAGCCCATTGTTTGGCTAAGGGACAGCAGCACGCTAGCCAGCGCTGAAATCACACTCTACATCCATTAGCGCTGGTAATCTCAGTCACGCTAGTCTTCACAGTGCGTCATTACAGAAGGCATTAGCAGCGCCAAGTGGCGGCTGCAATGGAGCATGTGCGCTCGTGAGTGTATTAGCGTTAACTTTGAGCTGGTGGGCACTGTATTCTAATCAAGGTGAGGTGACAAGAAGGACACATGAATAGGAATCTGCAGAAAAATGCGTTTTGATGGTTGTTTGTTAGATACCAAACTGGTTTTCAGTGGTCAGACTGATCTGATTTGCTGGTTTTGGGTACTTCTCAGCTGGTCAGGCCAGGAGAGCAGATGGCCAACCAGTTAAACACCAGCCTGGTCAGGATACAAGATCAGTTGAACTACCTCAGGCTGGTTTAAATAAAAATGTGGAGTCTAGCGTTAGCATACATGCTTAAAACACATACGTGACCATAAAGGTATAAAATATTGGGACATTATGAAAATCAATACTTGCAGACCATTTATATGGTTTCTAAACCTTTATTCTGGGTTTGGATTTCAGAGCACATTTGTTAGTCCTAATGAGCTAATCGAAAACCAAGAGGCATTTTGGGCAATTTGCTCAGTCTAGCGGATTTTCCTATTAGAACCTCACCTTAATAACCAGGGAAATAATGCTAACACTTTTTTTTTGGTGCATATGACAACATTAAATGTAATTACAAGAGCAGTGAATCCATAAAGTGCATCTTTGCATATTGACTCACTGTGTTGGGTTCGCTAGAGGGGTTGACTGACATTTTCCATCCTTTCATATTCCAAGCTTCAAATATGTATTAACTTATCACTGCAAAAGCAGGTAAGACTCCAGAAAGATCCATCCTTTTGATGTCATGTTTATTGCCATGCTAACCAAAGCAACATGCAGCATCTGTGTACTTCAAAAGACGCTCGGTCCGACACACGCAGATACAGAAAAACACACAAACTGGAGTTAAATGGGGATGAGCGTGAGAAGTTCGCTCGCTGAATTTCTGACTACAGCCTTGGCTTTCTTCCTGCGAGTTTGTGTGTGTGTGTGTGTGTGTGTGTGTGTGTGTATCTAACAAGCGCTCTGTCACAGTCTTTGCCAGCTTGAGCTACAGCTGTTGATTTGGCTCCTTAAATGAGCCAAAGTCTTTGTACTGTTGCGACGCGTGTGTATTTGCGTCTGTTTAAAGAGTTGGCCGTCGGTGCACGTTCCTGTAAACGTCTGCCAGACGATCTCCTTAATGTTGCCCTGTACTTTTTTCAGATCTGAGACGCTCCTGCACTATTTGAAGATAAAGCGGCCATCTATTTCATGTGCATCTCACAGAAGTTAACTTCCTGCAGGAGTTGCGTGTGAAGTAGCACAGGACGGTTTCTTCGGTGAGAGGGAGGGACATAGAAGACGAGTCTGGAAACATTTGAACTGCACGTCAACTCTAATTCTGTCTGACATGTTTTTCTTTTCCCCTGAATCTTTCCCCAAGACAGTTAAAACCCCAGGATAGTCAACCATCCCCGACAATTAGCCGCTGATCAGCCATGTGGAAAAGTGCAGAGCATCTGTAAGACGTGAAGAGTCATTTGTTTTTGTGTAAACAATCAAACCCGAGGGCATGAACAAAATAAACACAAAAGAGGCATGACTGGGGGCGTACATGTTGCGAATCGGACCCAAATGAGTGGTTTTGATATTTCATGAGTACTTCATTAACGTGAGGGGGTGAGGGTGGAATTGCTAGGCTGACCTTTGAACCTTGGCTGAACACTATGATACCACTATGATCTTAAACTAGTTGTATGACAGATGTTGAAGCTGAAGGGTGTAATATATATTTTTCTCTCAAATGTTTGTTTGAGGGGGCCAGCATCTCAACTTTTGACTCAACCAATGGTGTGACATTGAAGACTAACTATTTTTCGAACAGTGGAAGAATGGAGGACTGTTTTCCGCAATTTCACTTGTAGCTGCTAGTTTGGGTTAGGGTTACACCTTGACCTTCACCTTTACATCTTAAAAAAAGTAATTCCAGTAATTGCTTCCTGTCTTAAAAGGGGTTCACACTGAAAACGATTAAGTCGCTGGAGTTTGCCAAAGTCCTATTAGCAACTGCAGTGTCCATCTGTATTAGATGGGGGATTGTGTATCTGCATTCCCATTGGTGGTCACCTAATTTGAACTCGCCAATGGTCTTTGTCGGCCTTGTCTCCTCAAATCGACCACTCTCATTGAAAACGACTGACTTCCAGTTGCTTGGCTGCTTCAAATCGCTGTCAGTGTGAACGGCCCTTTAGAGCTTTACATGGGGCCTGACCATTTATGCATGCATTACAGAGTATACTGGAATTTGCGGTATACGTCTCCAAACTGTCTTTAGTACCCTTCCATTGGATAACTTTGTGCTGGATCCCTTTTTTAGGATTTAAATTTGTGTTTGTGTGTGTACGTGTAGACGCCTTCTCCAGCAATGACAGAAAGTCCCCATTGACTCGGTGACATCTAGAAATCCCTTTGACATGAGATGAATGGACAGTTTTGGCAGGCTGCCCCACAGTCGTCTTTGCAAGACTTCCCCAAAGCACGTCTTCTCTGCTATGTACAGTATCTACAACTATACTGTTTTTGTGTGTGTGTTGATCATTGTCTGTGATTCTTGGCAGGCGTACAAGAGATATACAATAAACCTGCCAATTGAGCGCTTCTCAGTTCCAGTTTCTGAGATATTTTATCCTGTTTTTCCTACTTATAGAGCAGATAACATGTCATTGCTATTGTAGTCGGCTGGTTTTTCAGCTAACCGTTGAACCCTAGAGAGGATACAGCATTCAGACATCATGAGGTTTGAGTCCACCTTAAAAGCTTTTATAGAACTTGCCAGAATTGAACACTTCCACTATAAACCAACTCATCTCGGTGGTTCCTAAACTAGTATTTGGCAGGTACCTATATGAAAGCATGCAGATTGTTGACAGCCATATGTCCGATGTACAAGTACAACAGGAACTCCATTTGAACAGGTTCACAGTCTGTCCCATGGTGTCTTTTGACAGGCTGTGAATCACTTCCCCCATCTCATGATCAGTTTTAGGGGAGAAAAAGCAAGTCTCGGATGGTTAGAGGTGTCTTTGGTATTGCCCCGACCCTTTGAAGAGGGTCACCCAGTTCTTCAGGCTCCATACAAGAACAACAGTATTTATTTTTGCTCACATTGCTTCAGTTTATTCTGATATTTTCATTTTTGTTTCCACAGCAACAGGGAGCTGCCACTACAGTCTACTGCGCCGTGGCTCCAGAGCTGGAGGGTATCGGAGGGATGTACTTCAACAACTGCTTCCGTTGCTTGCCCTCGCCGCAGGCCCAGGACCCCACGGCAGCCGTCAGCCTGTGGGAACTCAGCGAGAGGCTCATCCAGGAGAGATCCACCCCCCCTCAGGTGCTCTGACCCCTCCTGGCCCCGTGATCCCTGTAGGGTCACCTACATGAACGTCACAGCTACATGGAGGATTCAGGCATAAGATAATCATTGTTTAAAGGCGCAAAAAAGATGAGAAGATGGAATTCTAAACTGTACAAGGACGTTGGCAATCAAGCTTGGAAGTTATCTGAGAATCGGGAACTAGAACCACACGGACTGGGACTTCTGCAGCAGATAAAGAGATGCAGAGAGACAGCGAGAGATTCAATTCAATTGTGTTTCTCTTGTTCTCAAAGGCGTAGTCACTCAATCCTGCATTAGGGTTTAGATAACTCTGTAAATGTCTCCTTAACAAGCAATAACATTTGAGTTGTCTTTAGAGGGGGTCTATATGGTTTAAATGGATGTTTACGGAATACAAATACTCATCTGTTTGGAGACCAATGTCAACCTTTACGTCTGTACAGATACAAATGTTGAATAAATGTTGTAATGGCGTACCCTATAAAGACATAATGCAGGAAATGTACAATTTGTGAACTATTTACAAACATGGTGTCTTCACATTGCTAAGAATAAGCCTGTATTCATATCCTGTACACAATATACACAAGATGCTGTTCGGAAAGAATTTGAATGCTGTTGTCTTTCTTTACCCCATCTGGCTAGAGCCTCCCAACCACCTTTTCTAAAATGCTGGGCTAATGTGAAGTACAATAAAACAGCATCTGGTACGAGAACTGGAGGGCCGTCAGTGGCAGAGAGACAGAAAGAGTTTGAGTCCATGTGGTCTGGAAATATCTGGTGGAAGTTCCATTTTTAATTCCTTTTATTGTCCGGATTGCATCATCAAACATGCAGGGATGTTTCTACATTTGTTTTTCATTGTTGGCGAGACGTCTGACTGTAAAATCAGGGTAGAGTCAGTAGAAGGGGATCGTGGGTAAGGCTGAGGAATGGCACTCAGATTTCTCTTAATCCTCCATCCTCTTCCTCATCGTTGTCTTCATCAGGGGTGGATTTTGGAGAGGTTGTGCTTTGTGGCAGTCTTGGAGCCATAGGTCACCCTAAGCCAGAATCATTCCAGTGTTACACTGCCTGTAAAGAAAGAGAAAAAGAGATTCATTGAAAAAGTTAAACATGATTTAACGTAATCATTGTATATTGCTGGTGAGATTAACATTTTTTTCCTGCCTTCACTCTAACACCTCTAACATACAGACTCTAATTCATATTAATTGTTTCAATGAAACAATTTCAGTCAATCAAAACATCCCAGCAGATATCACACGCTCACACAAAGATTAATTAGTCTGCATCACATCTTAAGTTGTTTCTAGGCCCTAAAACTAGTGCCAACCAATAGCGCTGAGAAATTCATTTATTGACGATTCAAGTTAAAAAATGATTAATCTATTCTTCATTTTATTAATTAATAAATCTATTCATGAATTTTTTAAAAGTCCCTATGTGACATTTTACTACTACTTTTTTGTATCTAATAAATATAGTTAAAAATCACATTAGATTGACTGCGTCAAATATTGAGTTATGCCGTCAAACTGACATCACAGCTACTATCTTAAAAGTTAAGTGAGTTGCACATGCATTGAGAATTTATTCAATAAAATCATTGAAAATAACTGGCTAAAAAATTTGTTCATAGACATCACTACTAATAAATGATACATGCTCAGCATACAGTACAAAATGTTTTTTACACACTACTTACATTTATTATTGTAAGTGATGAAGAAACGTACACATTGTGATAACTAAAATAGCAAGAGTTTTTTAAATTCGAGGCCCAGTTCAAAGGACTTCTCTTGATTGAACATAGATAGGAAAGCTTCCAGTTGCGCAGAGTCTCAACAAGGGTACCACTCCACAAGGTCTTATCCAGGGGGCACTGGAACTAGAGGAATTCTTGTAGGACACATCCCGATGTCTGATATTATGTTTAGTGCCTCAGTTGGCTTGCATTGAAGCACATTTCAAACAGATAAAGGTGCCAGCTTATCCCTACCGTAAAGAAGAATCTGATCAGAGCATCTGTGCGCAGATCTACTAGTAGGAGCAGATCTGCGCTACATCTTTGCGTTGATTTCCATCTTCTACCAACCTCTCAACTATCTCTGATCTATCGAGGTTACAATAGCAAGTTATGGGAGAATCTCAACTCTTCATCGCAGCCACATAGAGCCACCCTTAAACACTTGGCCAAGATTGACAATCGCCTGACCTATAAAAAGGACACACGAGATTTCTAAATGCGTCTTAAATGCACCCAGAACAAACAAAACTCAATAATAACATGCACTAAATGATGTTGACAGTGTGCCACAGGTGACAGGGCATCTGAGCTTTCTGCCGCAGGGTCTTCTGGAAAACTGTTGGCTCCATGTTGGCTTGCATCCTCTGCTCAAGCCTCTCTACCTTCGGGGAAGACTGGGTGGCCATCATTTGGGTTTTATAACCCTTTTCTGCCTCCAGGAGGAGCAAATGCTCAGCTGGGTCTAGGCAGACGCTGGTGATATTGTTCTCCTCAAGGCATAGATTCACATATAATAAAAACAAGAGCTTTGCCTCCAGAGTTGTGCCAAGTTTGGCCCCAATTAAATACTAGTTGTTATTCAGATTCACAAGAGTTTATTTGCCAAATATGCAACTAGACTACAGGGCTAAGCTATTTGGAAACTAGTCATTGGTTGGTAGTCTAGAGAATAGGCATCCTTTGATAAGAGTTTGATTGAGTGTGTTCAGCTCAGGTCAGCAGTATCTAAAAAGATAGTCAGGCTAAGATGGACAGGTAAGTAGAGGTCAATCCCAAAAAGATCTTATCCTACAAGTCAGGGATCAAGAAGACCCCTTGAAAGTAAAACACTTGTGCAATCCAAGCTTTCTTTTCCCAAATCCTAGAGAGACACTGTGTGAAAACCTGCAAAAATGATCTCAACTGCTTCTATAACCATGCATGTCCTGGCAAGAAGGCCTTTGTGTCTGAAGCACTGGGAGATTCATGAGTGGATGTTTTTCTCGTTTCTTCAACAGAGCCTTATTGATCATTGTATTGGAATCATTTGATAGTTAATCAATGTTTTTTCTTTCTTTCAGCACACCGGGCAAGTGCACCATTTTTCAAAGGCAGGCCTTGATCCTGGAAACAAAAAAATTATACACACTAACTCACCTCAGTGCACTCAATCTAGCTTGAATCATATTTCACAGCAACATACATACAACTACCAAAAAAGTATCTTTTAAACATGCCAACATAGTGATTTCATTTGGATATGTACCATGACATACAGCTTTTTTCTAAATTTACCATAGTACTACTATTTTTTGGACAATCTTTTTTTTTTTTTTCCATCAAGCTTCGGGTTTTATTTATTTATTTTTTGTCTCTCCTCTCTGTGTCTAACTTGAAATAACTGTCTAGTTGTGGTACATACCATCTATGCAGCAACAACACAAATACACCCAGATTTCCGAGGTAAACCGTAATGTAAAGAACTTCAGAGTTACCGATATGCTGATAAGCATTATACGGTCTTGTCCAGGGCAGGCCAGTGTAGTGATGCAAGACAAAAGGTGACTTTCAGAGGTAAACGGATCTCCCATTGACCCCCAGTATATGTCTGCATCACTTCCTGTATGTACAGCCCTGGCTGTAACCAAAAGCCTTTCCCTGAACACTCACAATATATCCGCTTAATCTACCCCCATTTACAACGACACACCCAATCTGTATCACTCTCCCGTTCCCTCTGCCTGTTTAAATAGGGGAAGAGAGGCAGTATGACATCATGTCCTGTAACAAAACCATCATTGCAGCTGATAGTCTGCGACTGCATGCCTCTTCTCTGACCTGTTCACTTTGATTCTGACCGTTCTGACACGTCCGGTCCTGCTCCAGGATGGGCGGCACATCTGTGAAAAGCGCAGACAGGCTGGAGAGCTGTACCACATGCCAGGTGTTTAATATCAGCACTGCGTGGTGCAATTACCCCGCAGAAATGAGCTTTTAATTCCGTTTTATTGGTTCAATATTGCTTCTGGTGTTTAGGTTTTTAAACATTATAATTAGTTTTGAAAAGATTGGTCGACCTCATTCTATTCCACAATACCCCATGGCTTTAAACAATGCTCAGCGGTGGCATGGATGCAGGTTTCTGGAACCGCCTGGGTTGCGGTGAAACACGATTTTAATAGCGCAGGAGAGCTTTGAGACAGCTGGCTAGAGAAGCACTTATTGGTGAATATGGAGAATTAATGCTGCTAAAAATATAAAAAGAATATGATTTTAGTGTTTTGGAAACAATTTCAGTAACCTATTTATGCAAAACGAACAGGAAGCAAAGGGGAAAATGCAATGAACAGACCTTTTGACTACACACAATGTGCTTATGCCACAAAATTGTCAATTGCAGGGCTTTTCAAACTTTTTAATGCTGAAGACCCCAATTCAGACCCATTTATACTGTAATTAGTGATGCATTATAAAGGCAACATGTTGTTCTCTTATTAAAATATTACATGAAAAATATTTAGAGTATATATATATATATATAAACACACACAGGATTATGATAATATATTATTGTTAGTTGTGTTTTTTTTAAACCTGTTTAAAACAACCAAGAACGATAATCTTTTAATCCAAGTAGTTTATTATTCCATTGAAATGAATTTTGGCTGTAGGAGAATAATTACATCTTATTCTTAAACTTGCACAGGCTTAGTGGGCTGTGAAATGCCAAAGTGTGTAGATATTTTTAATGAATATGATCAATCGTACGGCTCTCGGAGGAACAGATACACTCGATAGAGAGATGCGACCTGGAAAATTTATGATCCACGGCCATCCATAAACTGTCACCTCTCCAGCGCTTGAGATTAGCATGTGATTAAAATGTAGGTCAATATTTATTAAGAGCCGTTATAAAGTCAATGTTAGTTTTATGAAATCCAGTAGCTGACTGCGAGAGAAGTTTATGACTAGATAATACATTTCTTAAGAGGTAGTGCGCACATGACGCTGTTTATAGGAGACGCATTTATATTCTGTTTAATAAGTAAATCTATTTTTGCCAAGTTTGTGGGTGAGATTTTAAATAATGTAAACAGCTTGCTATGTTCAGTCCAGCAAGAATAGTTTGCTCCAAAAATGAACCATACTCACCCTCATGTCATTCCAAGCCAATGTGACTTATTTCAAAAGGAGACGTTTTGTAGAATGTTCACGCTGCTCTTTTACATGCAATAAAAGTGAATGCTGAAGCTCCCAAGCTCGAAAAATGAAAAAAAAAAAGCACCATGAAGGGTAGATTTTCAGCATGTAATGAAGTAAATAGGGCCTTTCGCACCGCTTTAGTTCCAGAACTAAATGTACAGTACTAAAGACGATTTTGCGCGAACTATTTCCCAGTACTATTTAAAGTGTTGCATTTGCACCGAGAGTGTGTACTAAGAAGTGACGTAAGCCGGTCGACAGCGACGTCATTTGTGCGTGGCGTTCAACAATGGAAACAAAGAAGAAGAACATTAACAACAGGAGTAATGTTTACAGTATGTTTACACGGCATTTTAAATCATGGCGGGTGAGGGCGTTTTCGTACGCGTTTGGCCAATCAATGTCTACTTACGTCACGATTAGTACCAGTTGTGCTGGTTAGACCCTGCTCCGGAGTAGGAGCTAATTTGGTTCTCGAAAAAGGCAGTCCGGTACTAAAATCGTACCCAGTTCCGGCGGTGCGAAAATGCCAAAAAGTGGGTAGTTCCACAATTAGTTCTGGTACTATGAAAAGGTTCCCACGGTGCGTAAGGCCCTAATGTCAATCTTTTCCTCACACGCATCTATAATATAGCACATGAGTCATATGGATTCATTTTATCATGCTTTTTTTGGAGCTTGACAGCCACTGATTTAGAGAAAAGAACAGCATGAACATTCTGCAAAATTTCTCTTTGTGTGTTTTTTTTTTTCGAAGTTGGAAATAAAACAAAGGTTATTGGAGTATACTTTACAAGAAAGTACTATTTCAGTCTGCGTACTTCAAAATTTCCTGTTAATTCAATGTGTTACTTGCTAGTTC